TATATATATTATATATATATATATATAATATATATATATAATTTATATTGTATATATATTTATATATATATATTCTATATTTATATATAATATATATATATATATATATATTATTTTATTTTTATTATATATAATTATAATATATAATATATTTATAATATATAATATTATTTATTATATATTATAATATATATTATATTTATATAATATTTTATTAATATAATATATATTATATTATAATATTATAAATTATTTATATTATATTATTATTTTTTATAATATTTATTTATATTATATTTTATATAAATATAATATATTTTATATTATATTTAATATTATTAATATATATTATATTATATTTATTTAAATATATTATTTATATTAATTATATTTATAATTTAATATTTATATAATTATTAATTATATATATAATTTTATATAATATTATTATATTTATATTATATAATTTATATTATAATATTATTTATTATATAATTATTTAATATTATTTATATATAAATATATTATATTTTTAATTATTTATATATTAATATATATTTTATTTTATTAATTTTTATATTATAATATTATATATTTATATTATATCTATATATTTATATATATTTATATCTTTATATATATATATATATTTATATATATATATATATTATATATATATATATATTATATATATATATATATATATATATATATATATATATATACGTCAAATGTCGATACCATTAGTCCAGAGAGACTGGATGCAGCAGCAACTCAACCCTTAGGACCTTCAGCTTAGTTATTCCAACGCTACATAGACCAGAACTAAGTTCCCGCTCTATGGAAGCTTGGAATAATAACCCCGATTCGTAAGTGTGTAAGCATAACTGAGGCCACAAATTACCGCCCAGTATCCCTTCTTACTATACTTTCCAATGTCATGGAATCCACAGTTGCCGTAGCACTAGTGTTATCTGTAAAACTGTAACCTCATCACGCCTGAGCAGCACGCTTTTTGACGACAATGGTCATGCACAACGAAGTTACTAAGCGCAAGCAGTAGTTGGACCGATTCAGCTGACGCTGGAGATGTGGTTGACGTGATTTACCTGAATTTTTCCAAGCCTTTCGATCGTCTATACCATTGCATACCAGTTTCCAAACTCCAGCATAACCGGATCGGCAACCCAGTTTTAAGCTGGATTGCCAACTTTCTACTTTAACGGCAATTAGTGATCAGAGTTCGGAGCTCTTTATTGGACCTCATACAAGAACGCGGGGTGACGCAAGGCTAAGTACTAGGTCCATGTTGTTTTTGGTGTTTATGAATGACATTGCACAGGGAAGCTCTTCAAACTTCCTAATGTTTGCTGACGATATCAGGATCTGGTGCAGAATACAGATGAATGTCGACCAGCATCTGCTTTCAAGTGAACTTGACACGGTATACCAGTGGTCAACCCAAAATTTACTGCATTTCAACGTGAGTAAATGCAAGGTACTTTCCATCCGACATCAGAGCATCTACTCATACCGGCTCGGAACGAATGTACTGCAACAATCAACTGTCGAACGTGACTTGACTGTGCTGGTTCAAGATGACCTGGGTTGCTCCAGACAATGCGAAAAGGCCTCGAAAACTGCAAACCTACACGTTGGGCTGTTGCGACGGGCGTTTGGACAAATAAACAGCTCCATATTTCGACAAATGCTCAGTGCGTATGTTCGCCCCCATGTCGAATACGCAATTCAAGCCTGGCATCCATGGCTGAAACACGACCTTAATGCACTGGAGCAGCCACAACATCGGGCATCTAAGAACGTAATTGGAATGCGCAATCTTTCATACCAGGAGAGGCTGCAACGACGGGGATTGTTCAGTGGAAGCTATCGCAGACTACGAGGTGACCTGATTATGGCATACTTGATTCTGCGACACTCACGTCATGTGTGCCACCCTTTACTGCAACTCAGCAGCAATACAAACCTGAGGGGCCACTCATTAAAACTCGCAGAACAATACAGTCGTCTGGAGTGCCGCAGAAATTTCTTTTCCATTCGTGTCTGTCACACGTGGAATGCTCTCCCAGAATCGGTCGTCTCTGCACCGACACTAACAGTATTTAAAAGACGGTTGCATGGTGCACTCATCCACTTACACTTTGTCACTTAGCGCTACGTCTCCATCCTACACCTGGAGTATACCATGGAATTATTTGTGGTGAACTGTGGGTGCTGTGAATCTAAACGGATTGCAGGACTACAGCGGAGCAAACGATAAGTCCTTATTTTCAAAAGTAATGTATTACCTGTTTTATTAATATTGTTTTCGGTATACCCACCAATTATCCAACGGGACCTGTAAATCAAGGCTTCTTAACCAGTGTAAATTCATTGTCTATTGTTCATTTATTCATTCACTTTATTTCTACTGTAAAGTAAAAAGAATGCGATCGAAATGTTTGCGAGTATGACTCATTACTGCTGTTGGGCTGCCCCAACTCCCTTCCACACGCATATGGTTGATGTGAACTTTACGAGGCTCTACGTAGCAGGCATGATTATGGTGATAGTCGTGCCTGGCTAGTTCAGTGAGGGAGTCACTGCTTGCGTCTAACACCATCACTGTCATTAGGCGTTGCGCAACAACGGCTCTTTCTTCCATATGAACTCACCAATTGCTCTCATTATCTCCGAACCCATTTTTTCCAAGCCTATACCTTCCTCTTTTCGAGACACAAACTTCATCCCCTTAGCTATGGAGGTCTGTGACGACAAACATTGCAAACCTACGTATCGTGTTATTCGAAAGCTCCTGCTGTACCTGTGACAAGTCTACTTAAAATGTTTTAATTTTCAACTTTACTTCTCCAAAGGGATAACTAACACTACTGAATGAAAAGGGAAACAAAGATACAAGTAAAAACTCGCGAAAGGATTCAAAAAGGGAGAACAGAAAAAGAATACTAATTGGAGTGAATAGTTGGTCTGCAGTGGTGGTAGGCCGAATAGGAGAATGCTGTTAGGCTCGCGATTTCAACACGCCAATGAGACTGCTTAAGTATGGATGTGACTTATCTCGAAGGAGGTGCTGCATCAGTAGGGAGCGTTTGTTTGTTTTAGTTTCTCGCCTACTTGTTATCTTCCAAAATATTTTCACTGGGGCTGTATTAAACGAAAAGTTTTTGTCAGTAAACATAGACGCAAAAATCGACGATGGACTACCTTGTGAAACTAACCTAGCTGGCATGAGCATTCCAACTTCAACCGGCTGCTGTTGCGGAGCCAGAAAGTTCATCCCCTAGATATACCTGATGGACCTCAGCACTGCCCATCCGATGTGCTGCCAGACTGAGCGAGAATTTTCGCAAACCAGTGATCAAGTACAGGTAGTATCCTGTTGTCTTCAACACGCCGCAGTTGTATAAACGATTTATCAGCAACACGACACATTGAATTATTGGACAATCCGCACTTGTTTGATATACTGATGTGTAATAATCTAGGAAAAAGATTTTTAGTTTAAAATATTGCATGAGTCTAGACAACGAGTGCTGTGGTTTCCTCGGTCATTCGGCACTCGTTGATGATACACTAGCTGTCAAGACGACGCTATCGTTTACCCTCAGAGACTGCTTGGTGTCAGCAGCATCTTGAACAAGTCCCGCTTACTGGCATGCTGACAGTTCCACCATTTTTCTAGAGCACAGGTTAGCTGCCTTGAAGGCTCTCAGTTTCGTGTATATGTGATGGTTGTCAAAGTTACTTGCCTATCTGGATTAATGCGCTACTAGGTTGGCTAACCATAGGTAAACTGTAGGCTTATTCCGGTCCATACATATCTAAGCATGCTGGAACATCATCCGCATCTAATATGCAGGTAACTGGATGGAAATATGATGAGCTAACGTTACGCATGTTGAGACGGAATCCTGTGAAACAACCCATAGGGCTCACTGCATATAGATGCGTTACGCCGGAGTGTATTGCTTCTGACCCAAGAACATTGTTGATGAAAATGGTATCCAAGTTGGTACTGGTTACGCGGCATTCAGGCATTCATCAACCACACTTTAGTAGCTGCATGTCGCAGCTATGTCCTCTTATGTACCATTTCCTGATTTCATGATTAGTCGACACTAGTGGTAAATACCATGCAACTCGAAATTTCTACTATAAGCAACTTCTCGTATTCTTTGCTCCTTTTACGGAAACCAACAGTCAGAACTCATTAGGTAAACGCTAGAGGGTCCCATAACCTACCCTTATCAGAAGGTGGTAAATGATTCAGGCGCCCAACGATTGACATTCCTCTCTCTTTCATTTATTCGCACTGTCGAAAAGTCGGAGATTTAATTCAGGTCCTACTGAAATGTTCACCACTATAATTTCTTTAATGCTTCTCTCAAAACAACAAATCGATTCACCGCAACTTCATGGTCGTGTTATAGTTAGAAAAAATAGGTAAAGCTTGCTCCGCAAAATGGCTAATGCACTAGAAATGATTAGTCAATGCCGACTGGTGTGGGGTGCCTGAAAACATACTCTCAGTGTTTTGCAACATTGGATTTTACCGTTGTTTTAACCTTCAAAACGTCCACTTATTCTACTGACGGCACTTCCTTTGACAGAAATTGTTTTAGTGAGTAACTTGCTTCAGCGTTTCTCGCTCCTGTTGATTCGCTTCCTATTTTTGTAGCCTGCACAATACACGTTGGGTTCAGCCGTCCCCAAGTTCTACACTATCCCGTAGTTGACGCACCTCTTACTTATCATTGATTACCGACAAGTATCCCTGACACTACTCAACACTAGTACCCAGTATCCTTGCATAATCCGAAGAGAGTTTCATCAAGAATGCAAGCTTTTTGGCTACTTTAGTCTCTTCGTATTTCCACCTTCCAATTTTAGTTACCGACTTACATTAGTGAATAGTTTTGTTGAGATGTGCTTGAATATGTCACCCGGAATCATGCTCGCTTTCCTGTTTGTACGCACAGGTTGCAGCCAAAGAAATTACCGAAATGGACTGGACTACTGCGCAAGTTGGCAGGTCAGGTGACCTGACACACACCAAAAGTCCCCGAGATGATGGTGTGTGCTTAGTGTTCGACTCCGCACTTTCCTCCTGTCCGCTGAGTCGCGCGGATTCAAAGCCTGCCGACACGAATTCACAGCCGATCATTTCAAGTGTGGGACAGATCGGATCACAGTGCGGGAGGCATCCCGAAATGACTTCCTCAAAAGGATCGGGTCACACGTAAGTGATCCACATCGTACTGCTATATATTTATCCCGAACACTTGCACATCGCCTTGCGAATTTTGTATGCTTGTTTCAATCAGATTCCTCTTCGGTTCACCCTGCATCGTATATGTGGCATTCATGCCATCAGGTATGACAAATACATCTAAAGTTTAGATAACTGGTGGGTTTGTGAGTAGTGTAATTCTTGTAGAAAGTAGAAGCCAGGATTAAACGTTTGCACAATAATCTGCCTCAACGGGGAATCGAACCCCGTGGCTTCTACTTTCTACAAGCATCTAAAGTTGCCTGCAGGTGAGGGGTTAATGAGGTGGACCATTATTCAAGCGAATCGCTTTCAGTAAAAAAGCCTCTTCAAGTTTAGAGACTGATTCCTCCACCGGAAAAAATCTACCTTATTTCGTTTCAAATATGTGTGCCACTTCCGAACCATTAGCAATCGTTCGAAGCGGTCTAGGGCAACATATATTGACTGACAGCTTAGCAAAGAAAGCTTAATTATACAGTGAACCATGATCTCTATCATTCAATGATGCACAGGGCAGTGATGATTGAACCACGTTTTCATGCGGCTTGGGACAAACACAGTGGCTTGTCACCGTCACTTGTAGCGCAGAAGCTCAGCATAGTGATGGATTGCAACCCCGCGAGATAGCAGGGAAACAACCACTGTTAACGAGTTCAAGGGAGTGAAGTGGTCGCTTGATGCATCTTGGGTGTGCGATTATCACTTAGCTCAGATATGCGTCATCCAATTCCTAAATTATCCGAAAGTCATTCTTATTTTTGTCAGTCAAACGCCTAGTGTTTTCGCAACCTTATGTCCCGTCTGTTAGTGTTCTGCGATATAGGTGCGTTGCGTTTAATACGTGAACGCAAGCATGTCTGTTATGAGCATTAACGATGATCGCGAGGGTATACAAACATCCTTGGAAATCTGCACCTTTTCGTCTGTAGTTCACCAGCCATATAACCTCAGGGGGCAAAGATAGCTGCTGTATGCCTTAGTGACTACATTTTACCTTGACCTTTTCAACAGGTAATTGACTCTTTCAACAGGTCACTGTCCAAATGTTCGTTGCCATTTGACTGGAAATGTCCGGTGGTGAAGCCTATTCCGAAAGGCGGCGACCCTAGCAAAATAGACAATTACAGGCCAATTTGTCTAAGACCTATTTTGGCAAAGGTTGCTGAGATCATTGTGAAGAAGGGATTGCTGCAGTTGCTACAGTCAAACGAGGTCCTGACGCCCGCACAGCACGGTTTTATGCAAGGTCGCTCATGCATTACGAACCTGCTTGTGACGAGGCATGAGTGGTTGAATGTAATAAGCAAGGGGAAGTCTGTCGACGTGATACTTATCGATTTCAGTAAAGCTTTCGACAAGGTCAGCCATGAGGTTCTCCTTCACAAACGCAGAATGTGTGGTGTCGGTGGCTCACTGCACCGGTGGATCCGCGACTTTCTTGTTGGACAAAAGTGGAGGGTTCAGGTCGAAGACTATCTGACTGGTATCCCTTTACAAGTAACGTGCCTCAAGGCCCTGTGTTGGGACCCAATCTGTTCCTGATCCACCTCAACGATGTACTTCAGCTTCTCTGGTCACCGTGGGCCTTGTTTGCAGACGACATGAAGGTTTAGAGAGAAACTGTTGCTCCCGACGGCTGTGGGGTACTTCAGCAAGACCTCAACCGCCTATCCACATGGTCTGCATCAGTTCATCTCCCGATCAACCCAGCCAAGTCTGTATTTATGTGCCTGGGGAAGGGTGCTGACGACCGAACCTACACCCTTGACGGCCAACCGCTATATCCCACACTCTCCGTGAAGGACCTAGGTGTACTCTCGTACTATGATTTGAAGTCCGTGGACCACACGAAGAAGCTATATCGTAACTTAGTACGCATGCTTTGGGTGCTCAAACGTAGCTTCGGCACATGGTCTGAAGAGGTTGCCACTCGCCTCTTCTCTTCCATCATTAGACCAATGCTAGAGTACGGTTCGCCCGCCTACTTTCCGGTTACCGGAGGCGAGGCACAAAAATCGAACGGGTCCAACACGTTGCTACCAGGCTCATCCCGGAGTTTACGTGGCTTGGGGTATGATGACCGGTGCAAGAAACTAGGCCTCTACACCTTGTCCTACCGTCGGGTGCGAGTCGACCTCATTATGATCTACCGTATTCTACATCTCGGTGACTTCCCAATGCTAAGGCCAATGCTGCACTTACGAGGGCCATGCAGCACACGCGGACACAGATACAAACTTGTCGTGCCGGATGTGAAATGTGTTCTCCACCCACTGTGCTTTGAACGGAGAGAGGTCAATATTTGGAACACTACCTGAACATGTGATTGAGGCAACATCTGTGCAGCAGTTCAAAACGTTGTTAGATCTATATTTTACCACTATTCGATTCAGAGCACGATTGCACACTGACGATGACATGTCACATTTGTAAGTCCTGCAATACAGTGATTCAGCTATTTTAAATGTGACATGAGAACGACCACGATATTCACGGCTGATAAATTTTATTACCTTTTTCACCATAATTCGAATGACTTGTACAGAATTCATTTTTACTTGCTCTATACTACAGTATCCAGTACTCAGTACCAGCTTTTTGTTGCTTAGCGGTAAGAGCTTCAGAGTATTCTACTCATTAACTCAAGTACCTCATCAATTTTACGTAATTAACATCAGCATTTCGATGACAATAAAAGGATAACGAGATGGTCGTGACTTACGTACTCTTGAATTGATGACGAGTGTACTCCGCCCCACATGTGTTGTATTGAGTAGCGCTGTGCACGCCATGTGCCCAGTGGACCCGGGGCTGAAACCGTGGCTGGTCCGCAAGTGGCAGGGAAATCTCAAGAGACCACTGCATTAGAAACTTAAATAATTGGTTCTTTTTGAGAAGACCGGTGCAGCAAGTCATACCTTTCAACGTATTTGCACTGAAGATGCCTTCTTTCATTAACTCCCTAGGTTATCGTAGCTCTTAGCATCGATATCTTGCCGATGCTTTAACGAAATGGTGATCATCACATGACCTCTACCACAACACAAACAGGTCTGCGAAAGCGTCGAGAAAGAGATTAATCCGCGTAATAATTTGACCTATCCTACTACGGCAAAACAAGTTATACTTCTTGAACAGCCGAATGATTCTCATTACCTTGCACCCTTAGTGCTAAGCATCCGACGCAGTCGGAATCGATGAATAATACAACAACTGAACATTGATTTCATAGCCCTAAAGTGAACATTGCTTGCGGTGCCCTACGTGGCTGAGCGGGGCCTTTTGCCTTTTTCGCCCAACCACATGTTGTACGTTACCTACAATATATATCTCAGTTTTGCAAGCTTAAGCAGACAGACATTTTGTTCAATCAACTTCCAGTGTCAGTGAGCCCCTCTGTTCCATCGAACTTATGTATACACGCAATGAAATATCGCTCACTATTCCACATCAACTGTCTTTGGACACAAATTTTTACCTCAGTTGAAACGAATCCGAAGAAAGATTTTAATGAAAGCTACTCCGTATTGAATGCTTACAAATCTCGAGGATTTAGTTCAGCCTTTTGCAATCGTTGCTCGATCGATCTATGATAGTGCATCTTAAGCATTACTCTGCCCATTTGTAAACTTAGCAATTTTAAAGGTAACATTTCGTAAATTTATAGTTGATAATGTAAACTGCTGAAAATGCACCTATTTGGGTACTTACAGCTTATACTGACTTGACTTTCGCCCATCACTATAACCCGGGTTTCCTTCACAACTCCCGTGTTTGCTGTGTGGTGATTTGAAACAGGTACGTTGGGGCCGATTCATCGCCATGCCCCACCTAACTCATATTTTACGGGCTGCCTGAAACACAGCAACTCACTTCTCCTTGTTTTTAATCCGGATTGTTAACTTAACTTGCCGAACAACCTCCTCTTGGTGCCAGCTTGGTGGTTCTTGATTATCCTTTTCGAGCCAATGCTTCGGCTGCAGTGTTCCTGGACGTGGTGTGTTTTCGCCTGGCAATCGCTCGCCCCATAAAAACCACCCACGTCCGTTTAGCAACGCTGTGACGTGGCGGATGTGACTCTCCACAAAATAAAGTTACTGCAACTTACCTCTCTCTGAGTGACATTGTATTTCCAGGGTGTGTTGGGCCCCTGGTCCTATGCGGTCCTAAAGCCGTATGAAGCACTTGTTTGGGCACTGCCTCCCAACAGCTTGCGATAACCTCATGTCTCCCTGCCGATTTGTAGGTTAGATCCTTGATCAAAGGTTCGGGGTGGGGCACCCCTAAGACAAACCTCTATTTCGGCCTAGGTAACCGGGTACTATCTCGCCCACTGACGAACCATGCATTTACAACCACAAACAATCACTCGCGCACTTGCTGCTACGATGCTATCCATTCATGTTAATATATCAACTTCATAACCACAAGCCACCATTTTACCAACCCTTCACTTGTATTATTCACACACATTGTTACCTGATTCATTTATGTCGGTCAACTGAACCTACACCGGTGAAGCTATTCCCGTGACATCTGTCAACTCAACCACACTGTGCACAACAGAGAGCTGCCAGTCCCAAAGTATCCCATCTGCGCTCCTGCAACCCGGAACGCAGTTCAAATGTGCAGCCTTCAACGTACGCACAGTACTGCAGATCGCTCAGTAAGCTGGACTTACACGCACGCTAGAGACCCTTGGAATTGATATCTGCTGCCTGAATGAAACACGACTTCAGGACTCAACTCGGTCTACTAGCTGGCGTAACCGCTCCACCCACGCACCAGCTTCCATCTCCGTCTCTCTGAAAACGCTGCGTCTGCCGTATCTGGGCAAGCTGGTGTTGGAATCGCCCACAGTGCTAGAGCCGCTTTGATTGATTGGATTCCGATCAATAGTCGCTTTTGTACGATGAGCTTCCATTGCTATTGTAAAGTCAGCAGACGTCGAGTCGATAAGCGTGCTC